GGAGGTTGGAATTCTGTTGGTAAAAATTGTCGAAGAAATCCGAGAAAAATGGCATGTAGCACCGGGCAGTCGTGCACATTCCATCTCACCGATTTCAACGAAACTTTGCCAGGTTAAAGGATCTACCCCAAAACTAAAAACGACAAACTGGTTTCTGTTTTGGTTTTTTCCGGGGGGATATAGACCACCCCCAGGTTTTTCTTGATCCTTAGTTAATGTCCACCTCAAGTATCAGTCAATTTGATTGACGGCTTGTCAATCAACAGAGGCAAATAAACGACTAAGTTTTTAGACTTTTCGATTCATCCAAATATTTGACAACTTTGAAAAGTGAGATGCAAAGATCTTTATTATTTTTTTTAGCTTAATAGCAGCTGTACCCTCTCCTGCAGTCTTCGTCTAAATTTGCAAGGTCACTCCTTATCTTCTGTCTTGTTAGAGGCGGTTGCCTTACTAGTTACCTCCCCTGTCCAGCTCATGTCAAGGAGATAATTCTTTGCTTTCTGAGAAAAGGTGGCTGGTTTTTGTGTTTTCCAAAGAGCCCATGCAAAGTCCATTTGGCTAGTTAGGGATGTTTCGTCAGAAGTTTACCTGAGGTCCGACCTTGAACGTAGCCACCCCCTTTAAAATGGCAAGCCGGTCTTCGTCCATTTTCTCTTGATCTTATCATAGGCGGACTTTTTTGTCAGCTTCACTGTGTTTGCCTTTGTTAGGGTGCTTTTGGATGGCAGCCAATGACTGAAACGTCTTGACACATCCTTCCTCTTGATACAAGAATATCTCGCTTTCTTGTTCTGTCTGTGACGGATTGGTTATAGTTCTCGCAATGACCAGCGTTCAGGGATCTGTGCACGTTGCTGATAAACACCCACTTCTACGATTAGTTTGCTGAAGGTTTCTAATGCGATGAGCCTAGTGAGACCCTGAGGTGCTCCAAACTGTGCCAGCTGGTCTGCGCTATAAACTTGTCGCAGTTTGAAAGTCAGAGGGAGGTTCGCCCACCTCTATTTATGTGAGTGTCTCTACAGTACCTGCGTATCTCAAGCAATCATATGATATAAAGTTCATTTCAGTCACAAATCATTAGTTAGGAAAACTGATGTTCAGATAAGCTCTCTTCTTGCCCTTTTTCTTTATTCATTGCTGACTCTAAGATAGCAGTTACAGTACGCGTTCTATTAGGTTTACAGTCACCTTGCCACCAGGAAGACTTGCCACCAGCTTTGATTTCTTCTGCCATCTTCAGATTCACCTCTCTCTCAAATTTACTTCTCCGATTTTTATGACGAGGATACTGGCATTTACAAACCCGAAGGTATGAATCTCAAACCAAGTTGTGCACTATATTTGAGATATATCGGGAAATCGCGGCCTTAATCTCCAAATAAGCCAATACGCGCTAGAATAAGCTTCTTCTCGGACGAAACGCATGTTTGGGATACATTGACGTCTCTCAATTTTTTTTTTTTTTTTTATGCTGCACACCCACGAGTTTAGAGGTGTGAGCTGTTGCCGTCCCTGGCCAGCGCGAGAATTGAGAGCCTCTTAGACACTCGATTTCTTATACGGCATCACTATGAAGACGTAATACAACTGATAAACCTACACTACATAGGATTAACAATGTCTGTTGCGCTGTTGCGAGAAGGAGGAAAATATTACCGGCAGTGTAAATTCTTTAAGAGTTTCAGAGACTTTTCAGAGATGTCTATCTTTGGCTGTCACAAAAAATTGACCAGTCATAAATTGACCAGTGAATAAAATATTTTGAAATATCGTTCGGAATTTGCCTTTTATTGCGTGCAAATCAAGGGTAGACAAAGTTTATAAAACATTTGACAAGAACTTCATGGGGTTTACCTCGATAATTTTCGTCGGCCAGAGTCAAGACGCACCAAGCTAAGTGACATCGCCCTCCAGTAAAATAATTTTCCAAAGAATAAATGTGGCGAGCGTGGGGAAACGCACATTTTTTTTCATTATTGTGATCAAAGCCCAATGATGTACCTAAATTGGTACTTACGGTATCAAATCATTGATTATGACAGGGTGAGCTTAATTTTTCTGTCGAACTCACTGCACGAACTGAGAAAGTAAAAACTTGTATTTATCTCTCATGCATTTCGTCTGACAATAGTAGACTTCATCAAGGAGTTTTACAAGTAGGGTTAATAGGCTTGCTCATATACAAATAATAAATAAGTTGTCTCTTTACTATTGAAGCTAGTGGATATAATTCGCCAGGTGCGCCTACGGTGTTATACATGCGTGACATTTTTCGGACGTTACATGTACGAGTACGTAATCTGTTTGAGGGTCACAGATTTAATGTAAATATTTGACCCCTCGACATCACGTAATGTCTCTAGTTTACAGAGGTCTCAGAAAGCTTCATTACTTAGATGCCTTCTGCGCGTAGAAGGCTACAAGCGAATTTCTCAGGTGTAATTGCTTTTGATTTCTCAACTGATGTTGTCGCAAACAGCTTTTGGGAGTCACGAAACAAAAAAACTTATTGGAACCTAGTTTCATGTACTAATGGAAGTAAATGGCAAATAAAACCATATTCTCTTGAGAAATAAAGTTATAAATAACAGGGGTTCTTTGAAACAAATAGTGATAGAAAAGGTTTCAGTTCTGGTCAATATTGACTTTTCATAGCCTACTTCCAAATCTGAGGGAACGCGCCGAAGGATTAAAAAAAACATACCTGTGTGATAATGCAAGGAGGAGAATAAAAATACAAATAAAGAAAAAGGAGAAAACATAGAAACCCGTGTTGCGGCGCGCAGATATCTTTTGAGCCAGACCTACACTTTTATGCCCGACACCACGCAAAGAAACTCGAAAGTGTGCTGTATATGAACTTGCTCGCACGTGCACGCAGGAAAGGCCATGACAATCAGCGAAAATAATGCCAAATGCAGATGATATTTGCGGTCAAAAATCAGGCAAATAAGATGAGAGAAGTATAAAGAACTTTCTGGAGGTGTCTTCTTAAAAAAAAGAAAAACAATTTTACTTCTCATGAAAGGTCACGCAGTCACGCTACAAATACTATTTCTACGTGAAATTTCTTAATGGTGGAAAGTGGAAAAACCATTTTCCAGTCTTATTTTCTGGAAACATGGTGCAGTTAATAAATTATATGCGGCTATTGATATTTCCTATCAAATAAGGGGCGCAGAGTTTCCTGAAAAGCCGAAATTGTTATACTCGGGAACTTGTACGTCAACAAGCACGCGGCATGTGAATTTAAAATCTCCTCTCCTGTTACAGTTTCCTTATTGTGAACTGTACGATAATGATAATAAACAATCAAATTGTAGACTAATGAATGTTTTGGTTTTGCACAAGTGCCCTATTTCCTGATTTTAGCAAATCTTTAAAGTAATAAACGACAGGGGAAAGAAACGCTACGATTTTCCCATCGATTTTTCAGCTAAAAACACATCGACAGAGCTGGTATCTTTATAAACAGCGATTTGTTTATTTATCACTCGAGAAAAGCCAACTCAAAAACTTTACCTAAAACGGTGGTTTGTTCACTTAACAATAAAGGTAGGTTAATTTTTAAGTTAAAATGGATATATTTAAATGAATCAAAACTGAAGTAGAGACCAAACACGTCGAGTTTTGTCCCAATAGCGTGCGATTTGCAGTAGGAGTACAGCGAGAAAAATGGCCTAACTCCGTGAAAATGCACGCTATATATTTTGGTCTGGCGCGCTCGCTTTTTACGGGCCAAAAACAATATTTTTACATGATAAACACGAATAATTTCTCGTTGAAAAGAGCTTTTTTATTTTATGTACATTCGTATACCCCCGATGTTATGGTCGTCTGAAATATAGCAAAATTCAGCGTACAAACGGAATAGAAAATATAGTGTATTTCACGCGGGTGGTTACAAACGAAAGAAATTTCAGTTTGAAATGAAATATAGTTGCAAAGCTACTCCGAGGGATGATAAAAAACTTATGAAAAAATGAATCCAAGACAATTTTTCTCTGTCTTGTACGAGCGTTGTGAAAATGCATTGAAAGCCCAATAGAAATGATGCAAATTAGGTACGTTTTGGCCGATTTCGAACTTTCGTATTTTTTCCAAAATAAAAACTCGCTGGAACTTTTGAGAATTATTTTTGAAAACGATTCACCAAAAGGGTCTTTTGGAGCAAATTAAAAAAAAGTTGAATTTTTGCTTCTGTCGCCGGATTCTCGAAAATTACTGACAAACTCTCTTAAGCAAAATCTCCTCGTCAGCACCTGAGGGATTATGGAAAACATTATGGAGAATATGCATATTGATCTTAGGATGTAAAGGGTTAATCGATACCCTTATGCGTAGATACCGTTGTATCCTCACACAGACTCTTGTATGCTTATAGACACTTTTGTATACTCATTATCCTTTCCTTTCGCTCTGCCGCTACTGTTTCGCTCCGTTTTATCAACTGAACAGCTGGAAAAGGTTATTTTCACACTGGGGATTTTTGGTGTGAATTTGTCCTATCACCAGATTGAGGCTGCCTGCTATGCCGCCCGGCTGGATAACATGAGAGCGAGGTTGACCAAAGATGGCCGCCAGAGAATTAAATATCGAGATAATAAGAGGTCTTTCTGACGAGATTGGAAGTTTCTACGAAAAAACCGAGTCCAAATATTGGACGTCCTTGCCATCTGAAGCGGTTTCTGAGAAGCTTGCGGTCCAGGATTTGTTTAAAGAGTTGAACCGATTGAAAGAAGATTCCTTAAAGTCCTACTCACGGAGATCTGATCGAGATAAACGAATGTCAGACAACTCGCCCCATGGACAATTAGCCCCAGACAATTAGCCCCCAGTCTCTGGACGATTAGCCCCCAGTCCCTGGACGATTAGCCCCCAGTCTTAGTTTATGTAAAGGAGAAGTTACGTTCATCTGTTGGTCATTGACTTTTATGAGTTTGTGGCTATGAGTTTTTTTTGTGAATATCTATCTTTATTAACATTTACTCAGTTTAAATTACATGGGTTGTACGCTTATAGCTAAACCCGTTGCTGTCAATAAGCTTCCGTTTTCCCCTCTCGCTGGCACCCTCCATGATCTGAAAAGTCAGTGGCTGGTCTACTTCCTCAACTGCTTGAGGTGTTGGTCCCTCGATAGTGGATTCGTCAATCGTCGGCTGGATGGGTGGTTCGTGCACTGTTGATCCCTCTATGCCGACTGCAGATTCTGAACTGGTATCAATGGTCGAAGGCTCCGTAAGCTGGTCAGACGAGTCTGCTGGAGGATTGAACTCTTCGGACTCAAGGATATCTGTTGACAGGATTCACAATGAACTTTTGGCCTGAGGGAAGTCACATGTTAAGCAGCGCCAGTCAATAGACGCACCGGTTTTAACAGCGTTGCGGTAATCTGCCTGCGACACGCCCGTATGGCAGGTGCGGTGTTGCCAACGGAGGCAGCCATCGCACTGGAGGCCTTCTTGACGAGGTCGAACTTGTTCTTTACAGGAGATACACATGGTCAGATAGCGGGAAGACATCGTATTGAAGATCGCGGTTTTTTGTTGCTGAATAAGCTAATACGAGTGTGCACACTTGAATGATCCCTTTTATACACATCCCCAGGAACAAGATTTTGACTTCAAACGAAACACGCAATTTGATTGGAGGAATCGTCAATTAAAGAAAACAATGAGCCCTGAATTGGGATGAATGAAATGTCTCACGTCAAATTTGCATAAGTTCGCACATTGCGCGTGGGTTTGAAATAAACAATGAAACACCAATTAGTAAAAGTTCGCACATTGTGCGTGGCTTTGAAAGAACATTGTTTATTTCAAGGTTAGTGGGTTGGGGGCTAATAGTCCAGGTACTGGGGGCTAATAGTCCAGAGACTGGGGGCTAATCGTCTGGGGCTAATTGTCCATGGGGCGAGTTGTCCGGATACCAGATAAACTAACAGTGTCTTCCTGTAATTTGGACGACATGGCCTGCCGCGAGCTTGACAACTGGAAAAGGTCTATTATTAGAAGGGAATTTTTTGTGGCCAAACATTCCAATCCATGGATTGTAGAATTCAGTTACAGACTTCATAAGGAGATATTCGATCATTTAGTGGAAATCCTCACTTGCACATCTATGTATGGAGTAAACATCCAAAATCATCTAAAGAGAAACGGCGAAGTAAAAGAAAAAGTCATTAAAGTATCTCACAAAAGAAAGCTGGAGCGATGGTTTTCAGAGGGACAAATGACTGGAGAGGTGGGGTTTAAAAGAAGCATTAAAGGCAAGGGACACACTGATCTTCTTGTGGATGCCAATAGGCCTTTCCAGCTTAAGTACATTTACTCCACAGAAATGGTTCAAATTAAGTGTCATTATGGTGTCTGGAATGAAGAAGGAGTTCCTCAGTTTATTTGAAATCGATGAACGTTCTGTAGCTTCTTTTAGTTCCTGTTGTGTTTAACAAAGATTATTATATTGAGGACTAGAAGACACAAACAAAAAAAAACAGTACAAACAAACATGATTGTTCAATTCCCTTTGTGTCCTTTAAGCCTCACTGCCAAGCTGAATTTAATATATCGAAGGGGTCTACTGCAATGGCCAATTTGTGTATTTTGTGATCAAGAGTAGATGTAACTTTTCTTTTTTAGGTATGTACATGTATAACACAAAATAATAGCACTTATGGTCCATGTGGAATGTAATTTTAATGAACTAACAAGAACATTATAACCTTAAACACCAAAACATTACAGCTTTTGTTATAAATGAACTCTCCTCAGAAAAACATCTTACTATCTCAATATTTAATTGTCTAGCCACCACCTTTGAACACCCTTAATCTGATGTTATCCAGCCAAGCTTCACAGAAACTTTTCATTTTTGAGCTTCAGCAAGAATTTGTTTCATCTTTACTGTTAGTTTCCCTGCTGAACCACAAGCAATAATTTCTTTTGAAATTTCACATGAGCAGTACATGCATGCACTTGCAGTGCTTAAAGGCATACCACATGAACAATATCCTGCAGTGCTGCACCGCTTTGGCACATATGTGTCTTTACATTTCTTATAGGTATCATGAAATGGATTCTGTTGCCTTATCCAAATGTTGGACATGTGCTCATGTCTAAACACTTTAGCCCATCTGTGTTTTACAAGGGAAAAACTAGCAAACGAAGCAAGTTGCTGGTGTTTAGACTCTCTTCCCTGCATTGAATTAATTCCTAAACCCACACCAAGATCTTCAAAAAGCTGTTTAGTATGAAATGGCACACAGTAGCCCATTGCCCAAACACTGAGATTTGCAGAGTGAAATAATGATGTTAGATTAAAATATTGTGTGCAATCCTGCTCTAACTTTGGTAGATCACTGTAACTAATATTGGAGACCCTACTAGCAAGGGACAAGCTGTTCCTTAGGTGAAGACCCATTCTCCCAAGAGATAACACAAAAAAGCTCTTGGCTTGCTCAATGTCACCCTCCTCAATTTGAGCTTCAACAAGATACATAAAGCCATCACAAAATTTCTTAGTTTCCTCCCCAGTGAACCGAAATTCAAAAGGAGATGTCTTTCGTTTCTCTTTAAACCATTGCAAAATCTTATTATACATCTTCTTGCACTTTAATTTAAACCGGAGAGCCTTCAAATGCTTACGCAATGAGTTATCTTCTGGCAATTGAAAAACAGACTTTGTACTGGTGGGAATCTTTGCTTTAGCCAAAACATGGGTGAAAAGCAACTTATGCCAATGCCCCCAACAATTATTTCCCACATGAAGATTATCACATTTTGCATTTTGAATAACTGGACCAAGAATTGGCTCAAATTCTTGTCTAGATTTAAGGCTTGCTATGTGGTTGCATACTTTGGTACGCAATGTCTGCTCTTGAGCAGCATTAATTGGCCTTGCCTGTTTTTCTTTAAATTGTGTCACCTTTTTGGCAACTTCTTCCCTGAATTTATATTCCCATGGCCTCCACTTACTTTGAGGATTGTTACTCAAGCTTTGCCCTCTTTCCTGTAATTCACTAAGTTGCACATTTGCAAAAGAACATGGGTATTTAGCAGCATTGCTCAGTTCTCCAGAAAATTTTGCTAGCCACTTCATATCTGATGGAACAAGTTTAAATTCAAACTTAACCTGCTGATTTTTTACTGAAAAAGTTTGACTTGCAATCGTGGCCATCTCTGATCTAAGTTGTTTCCCATATTCTACCATGGCAGGGTGATCTTCTTTACAGTTGGCACCACAAATCAAAAAATTATCATCTGGTGAGGCAACTCTTTCTGAAACATTCAAAATGAAACAAGCCATGCACAAGCCTCATTAGCCTTACCAAAAGGGGCACCATCTGCACCCATTGCTACTAAAAAATGACCCTTCTGTTTACCAAACCATGTAAGAAAATTAGGTATATGGCTATCTATGTGAAGGTAGAGGTCTGCCATTTGGAGTAAACGCTCTTTAAGGTCAATATAATACCCAGGGATCACTGGCAGTAAGTTGCCATCAACTTCTTCGTTTTCCTTTTCTACGTCACTCTCAGCAGTAGCCTGCGGTATGCTATGAAGTTTTCCAATATCTTGTACCTCTATAAATTTCATCAGCTCCTTGTAAGGTACAAGTGCAGGTAATCTACAACCCTCTTTAAACTCTGTGCGCTTTCGCTTCTTTGTTGGGATGTCATAATCAAAGACTTCTGAAGATCTTATATTACAATATTTTCTCTTACTAAGAATTCCACCCCTGTATAGCACACTTACAGACCTGAGAAAATTTGTTGAGGACTTTTCAAATTTAGCTACAGATTTAGCCACAATCTGTGGGACAACTGTTTTACAAACAGTTTTTGACTTTTTCAGTACATCAATGACTACTTTAGTTTTACAGTTTTTAACCAAGGTGCTCCAAAGTCCATTGGCAGTTGCACATTGACCTTCAGGTTCTGTACTTGGCGTAGAGTGAACTTTCTTGGCACAATCATACGTAAGCTTTCTTCTCTTAGCTGAAATGTTGTGTGACAAACCAACACACTTGTCACTGTTGTTTTCATCTAGAGTGGTCGGTGTTACAACATGTTGTCCTCTTTGGCAGGTGCACTATTTCATTTTCTAATAACCCTCGCTATAGAGAGAGGAAAAAAGCAAGAGGTGAAAATGTGATTTTAAAATTGTAAACACTAAAATAATAAATTGATTATGTCATTTAAAACACCAAAATACTGATTTGCTATAATTATGGCTCTGCACAAATTTTGTGCACAAGTGCATTGCTACATGTAGTTTGTTTTTATTACAAAATCGATCTCTAAGAAATTACTCATAAATATTTTGAAAACAAATTTGTTCACCATCTTATTCATTAATCATGATATTTATCAGCATGCAATATCATATTTGTAAAACAAATAATTGAACAGGTGGCTCCCTAAAACTATTTTACACTTCTAATCTTGATATTTTGCATTTTAAATCGAAAAGTCTCCTTCGATGAAAATAATCTGAGTATCAGTAGGTAATCACAAAACCAAAGATCGATTATTTTCACAACATTACGTACCTTTCTCTTTAGCTCTGTAATTTTTCCCTCCAAGTCTTGAATAGACTTATTCGCTTCAACTAAAACCTGTCGTTTCTCCTTCCTTTGCCGTGCCCACTCTCCAATGGGAAAACGTGAGGTCCCCGACATCTCGCCGGTGTAACTTTGGTAAAACAAGAACAATGTCAGCCAAATTTTCCGTGTAAATAGTCAATACAACAGGCTAAAATCCTATCGATTTCATTTAGCGTAAATCAACACTAAAAAAGCGGTAAAATTAACCTCAAACACAGCCAAAAATCTCCAAAAAGTCATACTAATCATCTTCTACTTTTAGATAAAGAGAAAAAATCGAACACGTCTCTAAAATAGTCGAATTTGGTATCAAATTAAAGCTTACCTTGTTGTTTTGCAAATGGCGGACAACACAAACCTGGTGGGAGTCACATGTAGGTACCAGATCTCTTCAAAGTCCAGTGTTGAATGGTCCTGTGCGCTACCCACAAATCTTTGCGCGCGTGACCAAAAACAGGTGGGGTGGTCAAAAAAATGTCAAAAATCCCCAGTGTGTTATTCTCATAGGAAATTTATGTAGGGGATTGCATTTTGCTGACCAAAAACACTAAAAAGATTTTTTTGTCTGCTACTTTTGTGCGGCATATCGGAGTTACAAGACAATAAATATACAATGATAACCGAAAGAATACGAAATATATTTGTATACGACAAAAATTTGCATGCGAGAAAAATATTTCATAAGACCGTTGAAATGTATTTGAAATACACAAATAGATACACACACGCACACACACACACACACACACACACATATATATGCAGTTTGGCAAGATAACTTTTCAAGTACTTCCGAATCAAATACATTTTTTTTTTAGTAGTTTTTTTCTGTCACGGACGAGACTTGCCGAATGTCATGCAGTAAGGAAATAGTAAAGACGCTCTATGGTTAGGAAGCTGTGACGTGAATACTGTGTACAGCCGCCCACTACCCTCTAAAAGAAAATCGGGAAGGGGTGCCTTTCTTGCGAGAATAAAAATAAATTAAACAAAAAATAATTTAACAAAAAAATTTTCCTTCACGCATTCTTCTTTAGCCCCCCCACTCGAAAACTTGCTGCGCGGTCCCTGAGCTTGGATAATATAACATTACTAGGTCGTGCGTGGTACTGTTTTTCGTTTTTTCAATTTTTAAACAAACCAGCGAGCAGCAATCTGCGAACGGTAATTGTAAGACTTATTTTACTCTCCGAAGCGTTTCGTCTAACTGTCGTAGACTTCTTCAGGGGGTTTTACTGGTAAACACTAAAGGCCTGTATTTATTAGCCATAGTTGGCAGTTATTACGTGAAGAACATTTTAAGCTGAAGGTGAGATTTGGGAGCCACGGTTTGAAATCTTTTTCTCACCTTGCCTTAAAACTTTTCTAAAACTTCTCCAGTTCCTGTTCGTAAATACGGCCAAGCCTTTATAGTGTTTGACTTACGTAATGGCCTCCAACCATGGCTTATAAATACAGGCGTTTAGTTTTTACTAGTAAAAATCCCTGAAGAAGTCTACGACAACTAGACGAAACACGTTGGAGAATAAAACAAGGTTTACAGCGACTGTACTATACAACTCTTTGAAAGCAGAATAAACAGTCCCACACGAAAGGGCTTCTCCGTTGCTTTCATTTGAATGGTCAAACAGGAAGGTGACAGACAAACACAGTGACAGCAGAACTTTAAAAAGTAAAGGTAGAGTCGCGCGAAATAATTTACAAACTGGACGAGGAGTCGGATTCGCTCCTATCTCTAGCTATCTCCAAAGTTAGCGCTTTCTTTCAAGGAAAAACGCATAGCACCGACATCAAAAACAGACGCAACACAAGAGCACATAGATAGCAACTGTTGGAAAACTGTCTGAACAAACGAATGAAGTATTTTACAAAGATGCATTTAGGAAGATAAATTATTTTATATCCTAATAAATGAAATAACAGAAACGACAAAACTTTGTATTTACAATTATCCTCCGAGATTTGAAATGTTAAGGAAGCTTAACTTACAAGCTAAGACTATCTCGAACTAATCTATATCAAACTAAAAGTTAAGAGCAGAATCCAACTGAGTGTCCGACCGCTACAAAATCTAGACTACCTTTGCATTTTTTAAATAAGCTCTAGGATTGGTCGCACTATCTTCGCGACCGATCAGATCCAAGGCTAAACACCAATCGCGACTTGGCAACGTACGTTTTCCCGCGCTTTCAGCTGATTGGTAAATGATTCCCCCCTTTTCTATATTCCCCCCCTAATACTCTGCAAGCAGCGACTGATAGAACCACGTTGTTGAGCACATTAAACATTACCATGCGAGCAACAATTCTCAGTATTTTTCATTTGAACGCTGCAAACCAGAACTTCACCCACATACTTGCAAGATAGGATACAACTCGCTTGGTAAATACCACCGGTTCAAGTAACGCTGACTTGATTTCAACAAACAAATTAGGAATTGAAAGGTTCAGCGAGAGAAATACACACCTCCTTGCCAAATACTTGAAATCGTCAGGACTCAGGATCCTGCCTGATTTACAGTCAACTTGGAAGAAAGGATTTAGGCAGTTAACAACCACGTTAGAAAGCTGCGGAGAGAATTATCAAAAACGAAAATACATTAATTAGGCCTAGTTCAAACGTCGATCTTTACATGTACCGAACTTAATTGCAATTTGGGTCGACTCGAATAATTAAGAGCGGCAGTTGATTCAAACGTCGATCCGAATTTAGTCGATCCTAATTGCAAAACTGAACATAACTCCATTGTAGTCAGCGGTTAATGCCTACCAAAATGGCGGGAAAAAATGCGGGAAGCACAGCTTGTGGAAATGAAGAGCTTGTTTTTCTTGCAAATGCGATTAAGGAGGGTAGAAAAAGGCGACTCAAGATGCAGTTAGCATTAAACAACCTTGCTGCCAGGAGAAGACGAGTTTTGAATTTGGCTTGCCTTCTATTATTGCTTATTTCCCTACCGATATTTTATTCGTTTTTTCTAGTTCCTTTTTATGCTTTCTCGGATTACTTCGCCAAAAATGAAGCTGGCTCCTTACACGTAAGACAGGTATATTTTGTGGTTTTAAAACAAGAGGAGCACGAGCCTTCCTCCTTTCCCGCCATATTGTTTGAATGGTTCGAAGGCTTTCGCGCATGGCACGTAAGCGAACTTTCTTGAATTGTGGGTAAAACATAATTATTTTAACGTATGTATAATGTATGCATTAAGTTCGGTACATGTAAAGTACGACGTATGAATCAATGCAGATCTTTTACCGTTCTATCCGACTAGCCGAGTCGGATAGAACGGCACTGTCGATCCGAATACAAATCTGCCGATCCGTAATTGATTCAAACGTCGATCTTTACATGTACTTAATAGAAACGTTAGGTTCGGTACATGTAAAGATCGACGTTTGAACTAGGCCTTAGAAAGCAGATATGCAGTAAATCTGAAACAATGCCAGAATTTACCCGCGTGAGCAAAACAACATGAACAATATGGTTCGATGAAACCGATAAAAATTGTGTGACATATTGAGAAAGAGGCCATGGCATGACACTGGCGTCCCAGGCTCTGAGAAGATAGCGTGACCACTGAGACGGACTCAAACGATCTTATTCTAAAAAGCTCTCTGTTCTTGCTCTGGTGTGACGAGGAGCTGCTTGAGGTACCATCTCTCAACAAGTGATCCCCCCTTCTGTGTGCAGTAATATCTGTGGAGCTGTGGTATAGGTGAGCGTCGGGCTTTCAGGGGGGCTCTCCGGAGGTGTTGTAGAAGCCTTGGCTAATTTCTTTATGTTTGGTTTTAATGGTGAATCCTGGAGGAATAACAAGAAGAGTTGACTTCAGATTTCATCCTGAGTGGACAAGGAATTAGTTGTCACAATCAAGTTGCTGGTTTTCCTTACCTCGTCCATATCAACGTTGGTATGAGATAATCGTCTCGGTGAATCATTGGTTGAGCTGGTTTGTAAAGTTGAAAAAGTATATCTCCCTTTCCTGCAAATTGAT